AACCATTTGAAGGGTAGGTGGTTGGACAGATCAGAATGTGAAGAAATGTGTCTGAACACATTCACTTTGGTTAACCACAGTCTAAAAGAGAGCACCCAACTCAGATTGAGAAAATCATTCATTTTGAACTGCAGGATGACAAGAAATTGGTTTAAGGATGATATATCTACAATAAGTCACCAATTTCCTGTCTTCATGTGAATGATACAAAGACAGAAGTAAAATCCAAGAGTAGCATTGAGGGAAAGTTCATGAGAAAGCATCTGTGTGATCTAAAAGTTTTCTGCAAAGGGAATCCATGGTGCATAAAGTGGGAGAGCTGAGCTACCATGGAATTGTAGTCAAGAAGTGGCATCAGAAAGAAGTCACCATTGTGATGGATCTCTCTCTGAGAGGGAGAATGTTGAAAAGTTGTGAAAGGACAAGGAGCAGTTGAGGGACAACTCAATTTTCCAATGTATAAGGAACGCCTCCAAAACTTCATTACAGAAAATAAAAAGGTGCCATACAGAGGTTAATGAGATAAGACTGAGGGAGGTGAACTCCAGAAAGTAAGGCATCCAGACCAAGCAAATCCTAGAAACAAATAAAACATGTTAACTAGACAGGTGCAATTGTCCCCAATGAAGCTGTTGGAGTTGCAATATAGAGCCTCCAAATGAAGGTGAAATACAGAAATAATGTAGAAAAGATGAATAAAAGCAAGATGAAGACAAGCAAATTGAGGCTGAGAGGGAGAGAGAGAGACAAAGATGAAGATTCTAAGTTGGAAAACGAGACTAAAGGGACTGAAGAAGAAGCAGGGATATGGTATGAAACTGGGATAAACAGGTATCAGCATGAACCCAAATATAAGGTGGAGGGGGAAGAAAAGATAGTCAGGAGGAGGAGGCTCATACAGCAAGGTAGCCCAAGATACAGTTAAAACTAATAGAGAAAAAGAATGTCATATATCTGTGTAATAAAATCAGTACAGGATGAAGGTGAAGTTATCTGTTCCTTGTTGTGGATGGAAGAACTAGAAACAAAAACAAATGGTAAGAACAGCTAAACAAAAAACAAAGATGACTCAGCTGAGCAACAGAGGCAGGACATTAGGAATCCTGGATCCAAGATTTGAATGGAACTAACCATCAGGTGCATGGCAGCAGTAACATTATTGACCACCAGAATGCTTCCAGTGGCCATTGAAACAGTAACTGATGACTCCTGTTTTGGAGTGTCAGGATGATCCAAGAAACCTCTTTTTTTTAAATAGTAAATCTGGCATGTCCATGGTATGTAGGCCTATGTCACTGATGTAATGATGAATATTTAGGTTAATTATCAAAACCTGAACAATGGGTGAATAACAATGGGAAATATTCCTGTCAAAGACACCATATTAGAAACTCTGGAATATATGTCCTAAATCTTTTAATTTCATTAAGAGAATAATCAAACCAATCTGAAAAAAGATGATAATTTGTATCTCAGAAATCCTAACTGAAATTAGTAAAATATTGTTTTTTCTGAAATCAAGAAAATAAAGATAAGAAAGAGAACACCTTAAATGTTAACTAAAAGTTTAAAATAATGCATATGGAAACTACATAATTTGTAATACAAAAAAAGATACTGAATCACTAGGAGTTCTAAGGAAATAATAAACTTTTGGTATACACAATGTGCTCAAGAAAAGTACTAGGCATGGAGGGTGTGTCACCCTCCTTTTGGTGGAGGGCTATGGTCTAATGCCAAATGCATGACAGACTGACAAAGTACACATTAAACAGGTAGGAGCTTTATTCAAGGCTTGGCACATGTGCATAAACATTTTTGGCAGTGGTGCATGGTAGTAGCTCTCACTTCTGTGGAGAGCTGAATAATGTTTTTGAAACAAATATCACATATAAAACTACAATTTCAGTATTACTTTGTCTTAAACTCCAAAGTTAAATTATCTCCCATCTTAGGATTTGATGAATACCACTTGAAAATAGCTGTCACACAATTGTATTTAGCAAACTAAATCAAAAAGGTTTTAACAACAAAATCAATACTTGAGTTACATATTTAAGGAAATAATTTCACTGGTTTCAAACATAGTAAAACAAAGAAATGAAGTACGTTGAATGTTTTAATTTGTTAAGATGACCAAGATTCTACATCTCTATCATCATCTACATTACTTGTATGTAATACAACCTGTATTGCAGCACTATATGAAATAAGCTACATACATTTTATCAGTTCTGATTTCTCATAAAATACACACACAATTCTGGCAAAGAAAATGAAAGGTCACATAGTCTTTATTTTGCCACAAGTTCCACAGAATTGAGGTTATGAGCTTACACTCTGATAGTATAAAGTCTTAAAGTAGCACTGACCCTTAAAACTGGGCAAATTTACATGCTGAGGAAACACTGTTAAACACTTTTATAACCTTCAAGTTGAACACAAAATGAAAGTATGATGTTGCAATCTCTGAAAGTACACTTTCAGTTATATATGTCATATACATAATTAATATGGCAGGATAAATAAATACATAACATTAACTGTTTTAACACCATAACTGTACTTAGGAATGATAAAAACATGTGAAAATTGATACATTTGCTCTTTGTGAACATCTCCATAGTCTGAATAAAAAAACTTTGCAAATTTTCTGCGACACTAATGAGCTATGGGTAATTAATTTTAATTAATGTCTTTGTAAGTGGTAAGTTGACTCACAACAAGATCTGTGATAAGTTAGCAAGATAACGTCACTATTAAAGCCAATATCAGCATGAAATTAAGCACACTTGATATTACACTCTTCCATGGCTTGACTTTTTTTAAATTCAAAAATCTTTACCACTTGTTTAACAGCATTTCCTCTACATGTAAATTTGCCCAGTTTTAAAGGTCAGTGCTACCTAAAGTCCACCACACTTATAATTTAGGTTGATAAAATACTAATGGCATGTAAAATCAAAACATAATAGCCAGAACATAAGTTACTTCTGTAACTTTATAAAAATACCAATAGTTCTTATTTTATCTGACATCTTAATTTACCCAATTATTTCTTAGCATTAGATAATTACTTACTTGGTAATCACAGAAAACTTTCAGAATAATGAAATGAACCAGTTTTTATCCATACTCAAATCATTATAACGAAGTTATGCAAATAATAACTTTACACTATCTGAAAGAATAGTGGTTGGTTTCAAATTATTTTCAACATAAAATTATGAAATTCTTATTTCGCATTTTTTTAACATCAAGTACAGAATAAACAATAAATTGATCATACTGTTTTGCTTGTTCAACTTTAAGTCTATTAGCTAATAGACTTTCCTTTATTTACACTTCTTACTCACTGAATAACTTAAGCTGTCTTCTATTTGTAGGTTCATTACATTCAAATAGCATGTTTATTAATGCTTGAAAATGATGTGGATCTTAAGTTTGCTTGTTCTTACATGCGAAACATTAACCACATATTAGTGGAACCTATATCACCTAAAAACATCTAGGACATTTATATACTCATATACCACATTAGAAATTTTAAAGGTAGGTATATAATTATTATATCTGAAAAGATACTGTAATCTGCATATAAGCTTACAAATACATCTCACTTCCATTTTTTGTTTTCCGATTTACCATCTTTATTATAGGTGTAAGAATGGAAGTTAGTGGTTATGTTACTACATATTCAATGGTGAATTTAATAATGGGATGTCTATGTCTACTGTTAAAATAAGTTTAAAAAACTCTCAACATGTTCAGTTTCTCTGAAGATAATAAAGTATCTCCATAGTTTCTATAAAATAATGGTTTAAACTGAGAAGAACATCTTCAATCCAAAAGTTGTCATGGTGACACAGGAAGAAATCAGTGAGGAATGGAGCTAATCTAGATCCGATAACACCACTATTGGTCATAAATATTATTGTCAAAAATAAACGGAGAGAAAAAAAAGATTCTTTGGTGAAAAAACTCACGAGTTTCTGAAACACATGCTTTGGAAATCATCTGGTTTCATTTTGATATCAAAATTCAGTACATAAATTTATGGTCTCATCCAACTGTATGTTGTTACAAAGGGACTCTATATCAAAACTAATACAATTTACTCCATCATTAAAATAATTTTCTTTTTTTTATTTCTTGAGAAAACTCAAAACTGGTTTTGATAATATATTCATTTCTAATCAGTAATTGTAAAACATAACTGTAAACCATGCTATTTTATGACTGTATGTGCCTATGCTAGACACTATCAGTTTAACAGGACATCTATCTTTATTTATGAACTATAGGATCTCCATACAAGATGCCAGAATGGTAACCACTTGGTTCTATTTTTATAATATTCATTATCAGTCAATAAATTATCCTTTTTTAAATTTTGAAATAAAATAAAATATTTCTAATTTACCTCTTTTAGTTTTAATTGTATCTTTATCTAGTTTCACAAATTTAGGATTATCATTTAAGATTTCTTTAATTTTATTAACATAATCAGTTTCATTTAAAATAATGACACTATTTTTCTGATTGGGTTTTATAATGATTATATCTTCATTAGTACTTAACCTTTTTATGGCTTCAAATTCCTCCTTAAAAGATGTTAAAGCAATGTCACTTATTTGAGTTGAAAGATTTAATGCTTTCCTGCAAGATAGTTTGCTCACACAATTGCTACAGTAATTGTTTAAAATTCAACCAATAATCCTAATATTTAAGCTCTTTGGTGGAACAGTAAATTCAGTTAAAATGAAGTTGAACAAGCAAAACAGCATGGTTCATTTATTGTTGAATCTTGAGTGTCATCTATGTATTAAATTACAGATTAAATACAAAGAATAAAATAATAAAGCAATAAAAACAAGATATGTAGTGGTTAAAATATTTAATGCCCTTAAAGATCTTACAGAAGGATATTTTTAATTAACAATTTACTGGAATTAACTTTTTCTTTATTACAAATGAAAGAGACAAGAAGTTGCACCTACCTACAACCTTGCACCTACTACATGTGGGGCTCAAACCCACCCCATCTGGGTAATACCTATGAAGAAAATCTGCAGCAGGAGAGTTGTGGAGCAAGGCTGGGTGGGTTAAAGAGGCTAACCAGTCTAGGGTAAACACCTGATTAATTCTCTGGAGACAAACATGCACAAACATATTAACTACCACAAAGGCACAGCTAAATTTAATAATGAAATATATATAACACTAAGATAGGACAACACTGTACGTAATTAAATATTACAAGACATAAATTCACTACTATGAATAATATGTATTCTACAGACAAAAATTTACACAACAAATTTAATATTCTATACAAACATCTTTATTAAAATATAGTATGATCCACATGCATTACACAAAATTAATACTCACACTTCACAGAAATTTATTTATACACTGCCATAACTGTTCTTATACTTTTACTCCAATCATACATTCATAATGCAATGTAAATGAGTAAATAATCAAAATAGCACTTCCAATAATGAATATATTTATATGCCAAGTTTGCTTAAGTATTATTATTTAAGAAAAAGGAAGATATCACCTTAAATTTAAGTAATTATACATGTATGTAGAAAGACAACTTTGGGATCAAACATAACTTGTATGTGTATACTTTATAGTTCTCTGTGTGCATGTATTATAGGAATAAATTCTGAGTATATAATTACATCACAAAATATTTAATTTTGTATATTTATTTTATTAACCTTCCCTTGAAAAACTTAAGCACATAAAAATAAATCTATAAACATATTAAACTTTACTTTTATATTTGTTTAACTTGTAATGGCTGCACAGAGACACCTGTGAGTCATGACAACAATCAATGAACCTGAGTAAATATATAAAGCATGTGCATTTAAGCACAAGAATAAGCATACATGTACCTGAAAGGCATAACATGAATTTTACATGGTCTTGCTCTCAAATGTTTCATTCTGTTTAATGCATTGATACAAACTTTTCAATTTGAAAACTTTGGAGTAACAAATTGTATAATAATTTTAGCTTTCAATAACATTACACCAGAAAATATCACTAACAACAAGTGTACCAAACTGAGGAAAAATACATTGTAATCTTTTTATGTAGAAACATAAAGAAAACATATATAATTAGCAATACTCATTACCTGGTGGATTTTTAGTTTTGCTCTAAGTTTGTAGCTTGCTCTGATCGAAAGTTAATGCTAATTATAAGTAGCTTTCACCTATGAGGGAAAGCAAGTGAAAGAAAAAGGAAAACAGGTACATGTATGATAAAATTAATGATGGGAGAATACAATTTACATAATAAGGTAGAGAGTGTAACACATTAGTACTTGCCTGATCTTCCTCCACCAAACAGGCTTTGTCATCCTTCTAGAGAAAAACCAAAGATGAATAAAAGTTTAGTATATTACCTCAAAAACTGGTACATGTTTATGCAGTATTGATATGGAAACCAGTAGTTTTGATTTCTTGTTATCCCAAGTCAAAGTTATCATTATATTTTTTCAAATAAACCAAAAAACTTGAAAAAATAAAATTTGTATAATTAAAAATTTATTTGAGCAAAACAATTTTAAGTTGCAAAAATGTGAAATATAGTGAAGAGCTTATGAAAAAAAATGCATGTACTTGTGATCTTTTTTTTTTAAATCAGTATAGAGCATAAAGAAAATAATGCTGCAAGGAAAGGAAATTAGCTTTTACAAGGATCTTTAAGATCATGTTACATTTTAATAAATGTTTTACGTACAAAAGTGATTCAGAGGCTTATCTTATTTCTCTGAAAATATCTGACAGCTATTTTACATTTGCACCAATAAAAGTAAACAAAAATGTTAATAATAATTTTCACATTTAAGTTTTGGGTTAATTAAAAGTTGTGCCACAATATATGTGAAAATTTATCCTTCTATATACACAAATCATATGCATAACAAATTACTCATTTGAATGACATGATACTAACATCAGATCAGATTGAGTCAACTAATGCAACTTTTTTTTTGTTATGACTTCTTCATGGATGATATATTATTTATTGGTTAAAAGAAGCCCCCAAATTGAAGTTATATACTGTAGAAATTTATCTTGTGTTTAGTCTTCTAATACAGAAAATTTATTAATCATATATACATCTATGCATTAAATATTTTACCAACTACTCAGAAAATTAACTTACCGAACTTTATTTGTTTGCAAATACACAACAAATAAGAGATGTACTTATAATGAAAAATTAATTAAGCAGATACACTAAAATACAAGCAGAGGAGCTCTTATACGAATTAAATACAAATCTAATGTTCACTAGATTCTTGTAATGTAACATATCTCTCTGCTTATGGTATAATTGTGAGTGAAACTGATTGTGCTTGTAGTAGATACTACTTATCACTTAAACCTAAATTAACTATAATACCATATAGATGTATAAACCAAATGTAGGAACCATGAAAGTTTAAAATTAATTTCTGAAAATTAAGAGCTGTTATCTAAAGACTAATTTCAACTTCTTACCTTCTGGCCTGCAAACTTGCATTGAAAATTATTTATCATGTTAGAAGTCAGCTCCACATCTCTTGGTAGTTGGCGCCACTTTCCACATTCAGGTAAGGTACACTGCACCCAATAAGGAAGCATCTGATCAACCATGAAGAATTTAAGTGTTGCTTCTGTTCTTCCATTAGCAGACCACTTCTTTTTCCAATTTGTGAAGCGATTATATCCATCTTTATGACTGAAAGAAAACAAATATACAGCTCCAATGGAACATGTACATGTACTCTGTACAGTATTTTATTGCTTTTCAACACTAAACAGCAATAATTTTCAATTATCTTTTTTTCATACAATTTTACAAACCAGACACAGTTCTTTAGAATATCTTTATGAACTCATTTGTGTGGAATTATTATTATATTCTCACATATTTACAGAAGAGTAATTTTTAAACTTTTCTATTTAATTTTATTTATTTCTAAAAATTAGGCACTTTGTTTTATGAAAAAAAAAAAACTTGAGAAAAGGGAATCTTCAGCATTCTTACCTGCGATAAAAAAATTCAAAGCATTCATTACAGTAGTGTTCCCCAGGTGACAAGTGATACCATCGAGAAGTATACCCACTGCCAGCACAACTAGAGTACACAGAAACTAAAGTTATTTATTAAAACTTAAAAAAGTAGTCCATTCAAAAATAAATATAGAATGATAAGAATAAAATAAAAATATGGCAGATATGCTTCAATAGAAATAAGTGCTGAGTTTAAGTAGAATTTTATCTAGGCCACTTGCATATTAAAGATGGGTTATGTGTGGTCAAATTTTTAAACATTCAAAACAATTTAATATACCGATTCCATGTATCACAATACCTTTAATTTGTTGTATATCTATGAATATAATATCAGTTGATATGTAAAAGTCAACATAGTTATTGACATTGTCAAAAAAATCAAGAAGTGGCCACAAAAATGCTTTGTTGATATCAAGCTTTTGTATGTAGTTGAGTGCTTAGCAGTAGTAAAATAAGATTTGATAAACCTTGGATCTTTTTATAAAAATTTTGATTAAGAAGGTTATGATAAATTTGTACAAGACAATGATTGCACCTTTGCTCCCCTTACTAATAATCTGGAAAGAGTGTCAATATGTTACCTTACTACATGCAGAATGATAACCAGTTTCAATAATTTCAGTCACAAAGGGCTAGAAGTGATTTGTTTCAGATGTATAAAATTGTTGGAGCTTTGAAAATCTTCCAATGATTGGTGTTTGAGCAGTGCTATGAAAAGTTTCGATATGCAAACTTAATTATAAGGGCTAATAAGTTAGAGCATTTGAAGCCTAGATCCATACTTTGTTTTTGACAAACTTATTGTTCAGTTAGACTTGGAAAGGTTTGTCAAATAATGATGTGTGTGTATGTGTGGTGTTGACAGAAAACATTTCTAATATTGTAGGATATATATATACTTGGCTGTAAAAGATCGTACATATAGTACTGCTATTTTGGTAAGTAGACGGACTGTCAGAATTGATTGGCTGAATGGCTTTCTGTCAACTCATATTGTATTTTATGTTTTTATGCATTTATTTATTTATATTTTTTTACACACTCCAATTAGAAGAATGTAAAATACTTAAAATTATATTGTATAATCTACTTTTACATACACCTGAAATTATTGTTACAGATTTTTCAATGCTGTTAACTTATCATGACACTATTTCAAAAAAATAAAATAACTTAAACTATATTCCAGTTTACAGATGTATTGAAATTTAGTGAGCTTCCACAAAAGATTTGATAAATGACATCTATAAACAAGACTGGTTATCAGAAACTAATGAAATTTTAGTTGAATATTTTAAATATATTCTAACACCATCTATATTCATATACAATATATATATATAATACACATACACACCTGTATTTGTCATTTTTACAATTTTGTATCCTACAAGCAGGTGGAACATACTGAAATGTTTGTATTGTAGGTTACCGTTTTCAAATGGTTTCATTTTTATTATTTTTAAGTGTCCCCAAAAGTATCTATTAGAATATCAGAATGTTCATTTTTTTTATATGAAAATTTCATCAGCGAGTTCTTTTAAATTATATGGTGAAAATAATTCATTGTCCTGCCCATGTAACAATCAATTACAAATTAGTTTTAATTCCACCTTACCATTTCTTTAAAACCTTGTACAAGTAATAATAAACATTTTGTAAATGTAAAATGATGTAGGGATAGCAGTGCCAAAAAGAATGCAAAGAAGAATATAGGGATGATACAGCTATAAGTAAGGTTTGTGAGTTTGAGTCTCAAGTCCCAGCATTCTTTTACTTTGAGCCTGTTTTTCTGTTTGCTTAGAAGACCATTCACATGGCTAAATCCAGTTTTGACCAGGTACAAACTTGGGAAGGCGTAGGGTGGTTAGTTGTGTAGGCCAACCTTATCCTAGGGTTCATTTTTGCCTCCCTATCGACCCCTAGATCTTTATTTACTCTCTGTACAGTCTTATTGACCCCAGGGGGTCGATAACAACCACTATGGAAAACCCTGTGATAAGTAAACTGCATATCAACAGTCAAGAATATATAACTTCCAACTGCAGTAATATTAGAGTCAAGTATGCATTTTATAGTGTAACATTAAATTTCAATGTTAAAAGCCATGTAGGAATGTATATATGCACATATTCTTATTTGCATTATTTTTAGCACTGCCATCACTACATCACATTACATTTACAAAATGTTTTTAATTAATTGTTTTGTGATGTTTATTCCCCCGACTAAAAGTTCATGTATTCTATGAATGTGTGAAATAAAATTTAATATTATGTGTATTGAATTTT